CTAGCTCAGGAGTTTCTTGGTGTTTGAGGTGTACGTGCTGTTGAAACAGAAATCGGTGACTCTAAACATCTGGAGTCGTCACTGTGAGTCACGGCAACGTTTCTGTCTCCTAAAGAAACAACTGTTGTTGTTGTTTCACTGTTTTTTCGGCCCCCAGCTGCCAGGACTGGGTTTTTCTGCAGTTGTTTTGCAGCCTGCAGGCTGTGGAACTGTCCTTAAACGCCTCGTAGCTGCTGCTCGTGTGCAGACAAGTCGGCTGATCAGTAAACAGCTCAGTGTTCAGTTAATGAGGCGGCTGTGGAGGCAGGAATGTTCCACACTGTGGTTTCTGCAGAACCATCAGACCAGTGTTCCTCAGGCGGTCAGCTGGTCTCTTCCTGTTTGTTTGAACATGTTAATGAGTGAAAGCAGAACCTCTGGAGTCACAGAAGGTCCGGTGAGCGTAGAGCAGCTGCTCTCAGGGAGACGCTCAGGTGAGTCCGAACACGTCCAGAGGTCACACAGAGCAACGCTCCGGTTCTGGCTCGTTCAGTCCAGCGGAGCGAGAACCCAGAAACACGACACCGTTAGAAGGAAGCGTCACGTGGTGGTCGTTGTTTCAGGTTCTGGTTCTGGTTCTGGTTCCGTCTGTGAGCAGTTCAGTTTTCAGGTTTCACAACATGTTGGACGATAATGTGAAGCAGCTGAACCAGGATCTGCTGTAATTAGAGGGCGCTGCCACACTGAGCCCTGATTGGCCGAGAGGCAGGAAGCCGCCTGGCAGCTATTGTTGGGCGAGAGACAAACATCAGAGAGAGAGAGCTGTCGACCAATCAGGACACACCCTCAAACACACACTGGTCCTCCTGCCTCTGTGAGGACTCTCCCTAAACCGCTGCAACTGCAGACAGTGACTACAAGAACACTCAGAAAACCTTCAGGGAACGTTTCCCGAAGGTTATCTGAACGTTACCTGAAGGTTCTCTGAATGTTCCCTGAAGGTTCTCTGCATCCTTAATGGTTACGGTCCAGAGCTGAGAACCCTGTGTTACATTACAAATGCACAAAGCAGCAGAACAAGGACGGATAAAGACGAGTCAGAACTTTTATTTGACTGTTGTTACGATTGTTCTGCTGAAATCGGGTCGCGGCTCCAAACTACTTTTAAACTTTAATGTTTTGATCAGTTTCTGCTCTGATTGTCGGTTCTGTGGTGATTCTTGGCTCCAAAACATTTTATTGTTTTGGAAAAACAGAACAAATCTGGCTGCAGCTTCACAGTAAGTCCTTGGTGTGAACCTGGTTCTGACCTGGTCCTGGTTCTGAGGCCCAGAGGCTCGGTCCTCACAGAGACAGCTAAAGCCTGTGGGGTGAGTCACTGGGTTGTGTAACATCAGATTTGTTTTGTGTGTCGAGGAATTCGCTGCAGCGAGACGTCCTCTCAGCCCTCTGCTGGATGTTTGTGGTCAGCTCGTGGTTCTGGGTTTTAATTATCTGCTGTTTCTTCATCAGAACCGACATGAAACAAACAGCTCAGTTTGAGGTTTTAGCATTTCTTTGTCTCTCAGACACAGTTCAGTTTGTTCATCAAGCAGCCGTCAGGGGACCCTGTGCCTCGGTCATGAGGCCGGTGGCAGACGGAAAGAAACTGTTCTTGTGGCGTGAGGTTCTGGTTCTGATGGACCGAAGCATCCTGCCAGAGGGGAGTGATTGGAGGAGGTTGTGTCCAGGGTGGGAGGGTTCGGCCTCAGAGTTCTGGAGGCGTGCAGGTCCTGGAGAGAATCAGGTTGCAGCCAATCACCTTCTCAGCTGAGCGGATGGTTTGCTGCGGTCTGGCCTTGTCCTTGGCCGTCGCTGCAGCGCACCAGGTGGTGGTGGAGCAGGTGAGGATGGACTCGATGATGGAGCTGTAGAAGTGCACCATCATCTCCATTGGCAGCCTGAACTTCTTCAGCTGCTGCAGGAAGTACATTCTCTGTTGGGCTTTCTTCATGAGAGAGCTGTTGTTCAGCTCCCACTTGAGGTCCTGGTGATGGAGGTGTTCAGGAAGCAGAAGGCCTCCACAGGGTCCAGTGGGCAGTCTCTCAGGGGGATTGGGGGGGAGTGGGGCTGTGCTCCTCCTGAAGTCCACAACCATCTCCACTGTCTTCAGAGCGCTGAGCTCCAGGTTGTCCAGCCTGCTCCAGGACACCAGCCGCTCTGTCTCCCTCCTGCAGGCGGACTCATCTCCATCAGAGATGAGCCCAGTGAGGGTGGTGCCGTCCATGAACTTCAGGAGATGGACAGGCTGGTGGCTGGAGGTGCAGCTGTTGGTGTTCAGGGAGGAGAGCAGAGGGGATCTGGTGCTGATGGTCCGGGAGTCACAGCTGAGTTTTCCCAGCTTCTCGTGCTGCCTCCTGTCAGACAGGAAGTCAGTGATCCACCTGCAGGGGGAGTCTGGTGCGTCCAGCTGTTAGAAAAACATCTCAGCAGACTGGAACTGTTCCTGAGCATCTCTACGGTTTTCCGTGGTTTTGTTTCCAGTTTCGTCAGCTTTATTACAGCCATGTGGCCCACAGCGCCCCCTTGTGACCGCACTACACTGTCTTTCGTTTGTAATGCAGTGTGCTGCCTGTAGGGGGCAGTGTTTTATCAAGCGCTCTGTGTTTCCAGGTGATTGCTGGCTGTTGGCAGCCATCGCCTCTCTGACCATGAATGAATATGTGATGGCCCGAGTAGTTCCCACCGACCAGGGCTTTGGTGACGACTACGCCGGCATCTTCCACTTCCAGGTAACAAAGAGTTTAATCTGCAGAACCGTCATCTCCTGACCACAGTTCTACCTTCACACTGTGAATGTTCCAGAGGTCCACAGAGCAGGGTCCAGATTGATCACTTTAATGAGCCTCAGAACTTCATCAGAACAGCTGATAGACACATGACATTTAGGAGGAGGAACACATCTGGGTTCTGGTAGAACCCGACACCAGATCAGTTCTACATCCATCCAGGTGTCTCAGTCTGAACACTGGAACTGGTTCTGTTCATGTCCTCTGTCAGCAGCTGCTAGCATCAGTATTATGGGATGTCTCATAGTGGTACCAATCTAATGTCTATGACACAGAGTCATAGGAACAATCAGTGGTACCCTGGATGTGGTTCTGGTTCATCAATCACAAGTTAATGAACTAGTTGTACGTGTCAAGCTCACAACTCGTTTGGCTCGTCAGCCTCCAGCGCAGGCTGAGCAGAAGGTTTACTGGCTGCTGGAGCAGAGAGCTGCTGCTTTGGCTGCTTTTCCATAAAGGTGAAACATCAGCTCTGCTTGGAGGTCCTGAACCTCCTCAGAGTCTCTGTCATGGCCCCGTGCTGCTAAACTCCCACAATGCTCTCTGCTCTGACTGACACCTCCACTGGTCTCTACAGGACTAAACAGGGAGAGGCTCCACCTAGTGGAACAACCAGGTACTGGAGGTGTGTATAATCAGGAAAATGGTGTCGGACTGGGACCCAGTGTTGGTAGAAATACTAAATTACTTGGATCAGATCAGGGGCAAAAACTGTTCATCGTATGAAGGTTTGTAGATCCAGAATGAGCTGATTCCTGGAGGGAGGTTTGTTCAGTTTAGTTGATTTTATATGAAATGACCCCATAGAGACTAAAGTTAACGTTTCTGTCACTGTGGAAGCAAAAACTCGACTGTGTCTGTGTAGTTCTGGCAGTTCGGTGAGTGGGTGGACGTGGTGATCGACGACCGGCTGCCCGTCAAAGATGGAGAGCTGATGTTCGTCCACTCGGCCGAGGGCAGAGAGTTCTGGAGCGCCCTGCTGGAGAAGGCCTACGCCAAGTAAGACCGTCCTCAATGCAGCTCAGAGGACCACGGAGGGTTTCTGTGGTAGTTTGGTCTCCTGGTCTCATAAAGTCACAGAGTTTGTCGTAACGTGGTCTAAGCTGGCGTTCGTCACTGACCTGCAGGTCGGAGGTTAACCTGTTTGCTTTAATTGTTATCGAGTTCCAAACTGTCACTGACTTTTTCCTAAAGTCCAGCAGTGAGCAGAGCTGCTGGTACCAAGAACCAGATCCAGGTTTTACTCTGACTCCTGTGCTCAGGGTGAACGGGTGCTACGAGGCTCTGTCCGGCGGCTCCACCACCGAGGGCTTCGAGGACTTCACCGGAGGCATCGCCGAGAACTACGACCTGAGCCGACCGCCGCCCAACCTGTTCCAGATCATCAGGAAGGCTCTGGAGGCCGGAGCTCTGCTGGGCTGCTCCATTGACGTGAGTGTTCAGTCGGGTTCAGGAAACGAGGTCCGGTTTGGTGTGAAGCTGATGAGTCGGTTCTGTGTCGTCGTAGATCACGAGCGCCGCCGACTCCGAGGCCGTGACCCGGCAGAAGCTCGTAAAAGGCCACGCCTACTCGCTGACCGGCGCCGTGGAGGTAACGTGATGCGCGATGTGACAGCTGATGAGAACCGACAGCAGAATGAAAGGTTCTGCTGTGTTCTGTCTGCAGGTGAACTACAGAGGCCGGATGGAGAAGCTGGTGAGGATGAGGAACCCCTGGGGGCAGGTGGAGTGGACCGGAGCCTGGAGCGACGGGTAACAGAACCGACACCAGCACCTCGTATCAGTCAGTTTCACGGCCGACAGCTTCGAGCCGAACGAAGTTACAGGACGACAGGAAACAGGAAGTGATTTGTTCTCTCTGAGTTTAACCCTGAAGAAGGAACCTGAGCCGAGAGGCTGCCGGGCCGGACTCACCGCGGATCGGTTAAACTCAGAGAGGACGACACGTTTTCTGTCCTCTGGGTGTCCAGCAGGTGCTCCAGATGTTCAACAGAACGTGTTGGGTCCAGTAGCTGCTGTTATTCTGTTGAAGCTGTCGGATCTACAGACTGTAAAACCAGAACCAACAGCTTCCAAAACACTTCTTCAGTGTAAAGATGAAACAACAGAACGTGACAGTTTGGCAGCAGACTGAGAAGTTCTGGAGAACGTTCCAGCAGCACAGTTTAAAGCAGTTCATGGTTCTGTTGCAGGTCGTCTGAGTGGAACTCCGTTCAGGGAGAATGTCCAAATGCCAACGCCGAGGACGGAGAGTTCTGGTAGGACCGGTGTCTGCAGCTAAAACCTGATGTGGTGAAGCGATGACGTGTCGGCGTGACGTCTGTCTGTCCGTCTGCAGGATGTCCTTCAACGAGTTCCTGCGTCACTACTCCCGCATCGAGGTCTGCACTTTGACTCCAGACGCCATCGACGACGACTCGGTCAAACATTGGAGCGTCAGCAAGTTCGACGGCAGCTGGAGGAGAGGATCCACCGCTGGAGGCTGCAGGAACCACCCCTGTTAGTATACAAGTACTACTGCAGTACTACTGCAGTACTACTGTCTGGTTGGAACATCCAACTGTGTCCAAGATCAACCTTCTGCTGATGGTTTCAGGTTTGTCTGAAGAACGTGGAGGTGAATGGTAAATGGACTGCACTTACGTCACACTTTTCTACCTTAGCGGCACTCGGTGTGAGATTACAGAACCAGAACTTCTTCTGATGTTGCTGATTGGGTCATCCTAGAGTCAGTGATACAGTAATAATACGTTGTTCTAATGTTCCGGTCCATTAGACGTGTTTCATGGTGACTGTTTACGTCGAGCTCCAGGTCCGGTCCAGTGACTGTTTGGACTGAATAGAAACATGAAAGGAAGGAAAACCTGACTGGGCTGACCCACCTGACTGGACCAGAATCAGTTTGGGAGGAGGTTCTGGGAAGGTTCTGGGAAGGTTCTATGAGGGTTTGTTAGGCTGCAGGTGTAAAGATGTTTCTGTTGGTTCTCTGCAGACACGTTCTGGATGAATCCTCAGTTCGTGATCAGGCTGGACGAGGAGGACGACGACCCGGACGATGGAGAGGTGGGCTGCACCTTCCTGGTCGGTCTGATCCAGAAGAACCGCAGGAAGCTCCGCAAACAGGGCGAGGACATGCACACCGTCGGGTTCGCCATCTACGAGGTCAGAGCTAAGATCACATTCAGACTTTAACCCTCTGACCTCCTGCTCCTTCACTGGTTCATGTTCCAACATCAAGTCCTGCAGCTCTGTGGAACCAGAACCACATGAAGGAGGAGACAGAACTCAGAGACGTCTGCTGTCAGCAGGACAGGAGACCAGAGAGAAGAGACGTTTCTTTGATTCTTTACTTTGTAAAACTGTTGAAGACCAGGAACGCCTCCAACATGGAGGCTCCACCGGAGAAGTTCAACGTTTTACAGATTTACAGCCTCGTGTTGTCGTTTGAGTCTCAGATTTCTTATTCTGTGTTTCATTTGTGTGGTTTTGTCTGTTTTTGGTCGTTCCGTCTCCTCGTGCTGCAGATGTTGAGCTATCTCCATGTGTCCAGATGTTCCCTGTCTGCTCTGCTCATCAGTAGAAGGACGAAACTGATTCTTTGATCATCAGTCGTGTCTTTCAGTGATTTCTGTCTTCTTCTGGTTCTGAGGGTTGGTGTCCTCACTCCTTTCCTTCTTCTCTTCTTTTGATTTCAGGTTCCAAAACAGGTGAGACTCAGTCAGAACCCACAGCAGAACCTCCGAGGCCCTGGACACGGCGGAGAGCAGTCCGTCCTCCGGGTGGCGCTGCTGAGAGCGATCAGTGCTTTAACACGTTGGACAAGTTTCAGTCAATTTGGACACATTTGAGTTTTTTTAGGCTTCTTCATTGTTGACACCTTCTCAGTATTTTCTTGTCTGCTGATTGGCCGGCTGTGTCACTAAGAGCTGTCCTGATTGGCTGTCGCCCTGCAGTTCCAGGGCCAGAGGGAGGTGCACCTGGACAAGAACTTCTTCCTGACTCACGCTCAGACGGCCAGGTCCGAAACCTTCATCAACCTGCGTGAGGTGAGCAGCCGCTTCAAGCTGCCGCCCGGCGAGTACCTGATCGTCCCGTCCACCTTCGAGCCGCACCTCAACGGGGACTTCTGCATCCGCGTGTTCTCCGAGAAACAGTCCGAGACCCAGTAAGGCCCGAATCCGACCGGCACCGTTGAGTCCATGTCATGAAGCTGTTCTCCTGAGAACCTGACAATGTTTTCTGTCCCGCTCCTGTCAGGCCCTGTGACGACCCGGTCAACGCCGAGCTCGATGACGTGAGTAACACCTGATGTGTGTCTGATCACATGACGACAGACTGTGTCCTGATTGGACAGAGGAGCCCGTTAGAGTCACTGGCTCGTTCTGGACAGGGTTCACCTGTTCTGGGAAGGTTCAGTAACGTCTCCAAACCTGTTCCGTCTGTTTCTGGTGACTGCAGGAGATGGTGTCAGAAGAAGAGGTGGACGCAGGATTCAGAGGCCTTTTCTCCAAACTGGCCGGAGACGTGAGTTTCCTCTATGATGTCACAGCCGCAGTGACATCATATCCTGTGTGGTGATGTTCAGGTGTGCCTGCGTCTGATTGGCTGCTGCTGTGTTTCAGGACATGGAGATCTCTGCAGCGGAGCTGAAGACCATCATGAACAAGATCGTGGCCAAACGTGAGCTGAAGCTTCAACAGGTTAAACCCAGCAGCAGCAGCAGCAGGTCGGGTTCTGAGTTCTTCTGTGTTCTTCTGTTCAGGAACCGACATCAAGACGGACGGCTTCAGCATGGAGACCTGCAGGACCATGGTGAACCTCATGGACGCATCCTTTACTGGAACAGAGCAGCTCAGCGGTCAGAGCTGAAGGGTTTCAGGTTTGCTCTGTGATCAGGACGCAGGAGCAGGTTCCTCAGTTGGTTCCTCAGAAAATAAGAAGTTATTCTGAGGAAGTTTTAAATTCTTTCTTCTTCATTTTAAATATGAACACAAGCTTTAAGGTGACGGCGTCCAGAGAAACGTAAACTTGCTCCACTTGGACGCATGTTGTCTGTTTTATTGAATCACTCCAAAGGTTTCACAGATCTGCTCAGTCACCACGAAACACTGAGTCAATGGGTTCATGGTCTGATCCTCCATCAGTCATTAAAAAGTTTTCTTTGAATATTCATTTTACAAAAACAACCTGAGGTCACATGACCTCTGCACACCTGAGCAGCTGCATGATCTTTAACCTGCAGCAGGACAGCGGCAACGGGAAGCTCGGCCTCGGAGAGTTCGCGACGCTGTGGAAGAAGGTGCAGAGATACCTGGTAGGTCTCTGGTTCTGTCTATAGCTGGTTCGGTGAGTTTGAGGGCTGTCTGTAAATGTGAGCGTTCTCCTGTGTGCAGTCCATCTATAAGAAGAATGACTTGGACAACTCGGGCACTATGAGCACTCCAGAGATGAGAGTCGCCTTCAAGGACGCAGGTCAGTCTGGATTCTTCTGATTCCTACGTCTGACTTTATTCGTGTTCTGCCTGATTCTGAAGCTGGAAACCTTTAACTGGATCGAGGTTTGGGTCGGACGCCGGCGCCGGTCCAACAGGCTTTCTGTCTGATTCCTGCTTCTCTTGTTTTCACTTCTGCTGCTGCAGCTCTGCGGCTCCTCTGTCTGGGAGGTTCTTAAAGAACCTGGTTTCCCAAACACTTTACTTTTAAAGGTTTTTCAATGAGACACGTAGAATGAAGTGATGCTGGTGAGATATCAGGACAGACGGAAAATCAACAAAGCTTTTTGTTTTTACAGCTTCTGGCTGATGAACGGTGGTTTTGGTGATTTTTTCTATTTAAAGAAAAGCTTTCAGTAAAAATAATAATAATAAAAATAATAATAATCATCATCATCATATCTTTATTATTCTGGTGTTGTCTTGGTTACATGAGACAGAATGTCCCAGACACTGGAGACGTCACCAGATGCTGCTGCCAGTCTTCAGCTCTGACGTCTGGTTTGAACGCTGAACCCTCTGATCTTCTCTCTGCTGTTCAACAGTGAATGAAACTCTAACATCTCCTCTTCTTCTCGTCCTGCAGCGTTTCTTGTGTTTCTGTCTCAGTACTAACGTTGTGTTTCTGCTGCTGCTGTCAGTAAACTGATGAGACGGTACGTCCTGCCGTGTTCGTTAGCATGTTAGCATCAGAAGCTACACACACAGAGCGCGTCCTCAGCTGGAATTCTCTTTTTGTTCCACCTTCGTCCAGGAGGCGCCTGCAGGTGTTTACGCTCACCTCCAGGTCACATGACTCCAGGTGTGACTCAGGCTACCTGGGGAGCGAGCTCAGGGTTAAACATGGCTGCTCCAGTGTAACCCGGAGTCACGAATGACTCGTGAACCAGGAGGGCTGAAGGCCACGATAATGACCTGAAGCTGGTGATGCTGATAAACGACCACATTAGCAATCAGCAACCAACAAATGATTAAAATGCATGAAATACGGCACACTGGTCCCGGTGCTGCTAAACTCCCACAATGCTCTCTGCTGCCACCATGAGCTGTAGTCTGTAGACGCCTCCTCTGGTCTCTACAGGGTTAAACAGTGAGAGGCTCCACCTGGTGGAACAACCAGGTACTGCAGCTGGTCTATGATACGTTTACTGGCACGCACGTCTTTCATCAGTTCATGTTTTTAAATCATTAGCAGCAATTAATCGTTAGCATCCCACCGTCAGACCTGAGGAATCCTCTTGGATGGAGGTGGAACGTCTTCAAGAACCACAGAATGCACAGACAAACAGCACAGTGACGTTTCTGTACGATTCATTATGTTATTACCTGATTGGTCGACATGCTTTGTCACTCTGATGCTAAACTCACATATTAATACACATGAATGTCTGTTGGTTTGTCAGATCGAAGCAGAAAACAAACAGACGGAAACTATTAGTGTGACTGTGGGTGAACTGTGTCGGACTCTCAGCTCAACACAGCAAATGAAGTCGGAGTAGTGACTGAGTCAGTAGTGCTAGCAGTCTGTTCGCTTTAGCATCGTGGGGCCACAACAAGCTAACGTTGATCAGTCTGAAGACATTTTCACACAGTGATTCACTAAAAATATTTTGTTTCATGCTTTGGACGTACAACAGACGTTTCCTGACGTGTGTACATCAGTGCCATCATGAGCATGCTGATGGTTATTAGCTCTGTTAGCCTCCTATTAGCTAACATTCACATATTTCTGACTGCTGTTAGCTACTGTAAACCTGACTGATAGCTGCGTTAGCTCCTCAGTGGCTAAAGTTAGCGTATTGCTGGTTGTTAGCTGTGTTAGCTCCTCATTGGCTAACGCTAGCTGCTATCCCTCCAGGTTTCACCCTGAACAACACCATCTACCAGCTGCTGGTGGCTCGATACTCGGAGCCTGACATGACGATCGACTTTGATAACTTCGTGGGCTGCCTGATGAGGCTGGAGATGATGTTCAGTGAGTGACTCGGCCGCACACACAAAGAGTAAAAGTACCACAACAGCCGAGTAAAAATACTCAAAACACACATTCTGGATATTTTGGGACATTTTATTTAGATTTTTAAGGTTTTTTTCAGTATATTTTTCAAAATGCATTTATTAAAACTTCTGGTTGATTTATTTTCTTTAGCATTTCTAAGAGTTTATTGTCGTTATTGTACGAATATGTTTTTGAACATTTTCCTCCTAATTTTTTGTCCTCAGCATATTTTTTTTTGCATTTAATTTTTTAGGGAACTTTATTGATATTTTTCTTTATATTTTTTGATATTTATGAGAAGTTTTATGTTATTTGCTTTTTTGAATATTGTCGTGTTGTTTGTACATTTCGGTCGTTTTGATGCAGTGTTACTGATATTTTGTGGCACTTCTGAGACATTTTGTGTCTGCTTCAGCATATCTTTAGCTGCACAGCGCAGAACGACTACTCCAGTAAATGTAATCAGTTACTTTCCAGCTCTGGCTTGTTGCAGATGAATCAGAAATGAAATGAATTCAGTTGAATCTGTGGAAATTCTGTGCAGGAATCTTTAAGAAGGTGGACGCCCACGACAGCGGCTCCATCGAGCTCGACTTCAACCAGGTGAGTGTGAAGCACCTGAAGCACCTGAACGTCGGCCGGCTGCTGCTCGGCCAGCTGCTCACTAACCGTCTGTCTCCTGCAGTGGCTGAACTTCGCCATGATCTGATCCGGAGCCTCCGCCTTCCCGCCGCTCGCAGTATTCCAGCTTCTCACCTGTTTGCTCTGAGCACCGCCTCACTGACCACATGTAGAGTCAATAAAGTCCCACAACGACCTGCACTCGAGTGTCTGATTCATGTCTGGGCCTCCCACTAACTACAGGTTAATTACTGACTCGGTTCACGAGTCAGAACCGCTTCTGATGTTGAACTCATTTCATATTCCCAGCCGTCCAGTAGGTGGCGCTGTCCGTCCCACACCAGTTCTGCTGCAGAAACATGAACCTGTGGCCTTCTGCCGCGAGCAGTGGGTCGGTTCTGATCAGGTTCCACAGCAGAACGCAGTGAACAGCGGGACAGAACCAGATGACAAAGTTCTGCTGTTTCAGCTTTAACGGTGTTCACAGTGGAATCAGCTGCAGGACTCTGAGGGTTCATCTCTTCGGTTCCGTCCCAGTCGAGCAGCCTTCGTCCAATCAGGAGCTTCGGCTGAACCTTCAACCGAGCCCAAACAAGACGGTTCTCAGAACACATCGTCACATGGGTCGGGTTTGAACCGTGAACGACCTGAACGAGGACGAGAACAGAGGTCACGTGGAGGTGATGTCGCCGCAGTCAGGGTCACCACGGCAACATCACAACGCCGTTACCATGGTTACCATGGTAACGGCGTTGTGATGTTGAACTGATGAACTTTGAACTTCTAAAATCAAACCTTCAGTTTCCTGCATTCAGAACATTTCAGCTGCTCAGAGTCGTTTCAGCAGCTGCTTCTCCTCATGAGCAGCATCAGGTCCATGAAACATCAGAGAAGAGCGCCACCTGCAGTCCTGCTGCTCTCCATCTTCTGTTTGTAGAACTTCAGCTCAACTCGCTGGTGAGAAGCTTTGATGACAATAAAACTATTTAAAGGCTGAAACTCAGGAACAGAACCTTTGGTCTGAACAGAACCTTTGGTCTGAACGAACAGAACCTTTGGTCTCTGAGTCCTTCTGCTGCTCCTCTCCTCCCTCCTCACATGAATATTGTTCAGTTTAAATCTTTAAGTGTTTGATCACGTGACTGCTCTGTAGCCCCGCCCCGGCGGTGACGCTAGGAAGCCCCGCCCCTCCCGCCGGGCGGGGCTCGGTGCTGCAGCAAAAGATCCTCAGCAGCATCCAGAACCGGCATCAGACCGCATCCACAACCAGACAACCGAGACCCGGAGAACGCACACTGCAGGTGAGTCTGCGGCCGAGCCGAACCGGGCCGAGCCGGTCTCTGTGTTCTGCCTTCGCTCCGATCAGCTGATTTCACGTTGATTCAGCAGAAACTCTGATTACATCATCGTGTTTGTCGACCAATCAGCGGCGGCCGCTGCTCCGCGGGTTCAGGGGTTCTGACGGCTGGTTGTGCTTCAGGTCTGGTTCGGTCACCTGCTGCTTCAGGGTCCAGATGTTCTGAATCTGCAGCAGAACGTCTGTCAGCTTGAACGTTTTGTTTCCGAGTCACTCAGATGAAAGTTACAGAACCGGAGCAGGACACAGAGGTTCGGTTCGACCCAGGAGCCAGAGGGGTGATTAGAAAGTTCGTGTTTCAGCCTCCACAAGGAGAGAAAGTCCGGATCTCTGATCAGCTGCTGTTCTGACTGGTTTCACTGGTCTCTGACTGGTTTAACTGGTGTAACTGGTCTCTGACTGGTTTCACTGGTCAGAACAAGCAGCAGGTGAACTCAGGTGTTAAAGGTAGATGGTGCCAGAGCTTCAGCTGGTTCTTTAACAAGTTCGACTTTTCCTCGTTAAATGAATCCAAGTTGGTTCACTGTGAGCGGATCAAGTCTCCCGAGAACAGCGAGTGTTCCCTGGACTCGGACTCGGACTCGGACTCTGGTGCGGTGCTGCTGGGCTTCTGCCTGCAGAGTCCACTTTAATATTTCATTGATTTAGACTCAGTTTAAAAAGCTGCTCAATAAAAACCATCAGCGACGATCCATGTGTCTGCTGGCGCTCCCAGTAAAACCAGTAAGACCAGTCAGACCAGTTATAGTCCAGTCAGAGGCCAGTCAGACCAGTTATAGTCCAGTCAGAGTCCAGTCAGACCAGTTATAGTCCAGTCAGAGGCCAGTCAGACCAGTTATAGTCCAGTCAGAGTCCAGTCAGACCAGTCTGCCCAGTCAGACCAGTCTGCCCAGTCAGACCAGTGGTCTGCTGCGGCTCCAGGCGATGACTCAGCTCATTGTGCTGCATGTGTTCTGTGTGTGTCGGCACATTTCAGATCCTGGACTCGGCGCCAGTCCTCGGTTCTGCTGACAGCTGAACACACAGAGTCTGTTTTTCTCTCTGAACTTACAGTTTACTGGAACCAAGACCCGATTCAGCAGTCTGGATCAGAACCTGGTTCTAGCATCAGCTGGCACGTTGACTCTGTCTGTTGTGTGCTTCAGGATGTATGGAGGCGTGGCAGCGCGGATCCCGCAGACCTGGACCCGAGCTGGCGGTCTGGGCTCGGTCCAGCAGGCCGTACGGTCCCTGAACCAGGACTTCCAGGTCTTGAAGGAGGAGTGTCTGCAGAACGGGTCCCTGTTCCAGGACCCAATGTTCCCTGCAGAACCTGCCTCACTGGGCTTCAAAGAACTTGGACCCTTCACCGCCAAAACCAGAGGCGTGGAGTGGAAGAGACCAACGGTGAGAACCAGAACTTAGTCCTCCATCCAGACGCCGGCGCTGAATCCCAGGCCTGTGATTGGCTGAAACAGGATGAGACCATGTGTTGAGACGCTCAGTGACTTTATTCTTTTTATCATGAATTATAAACATGAAAACGATCAATTCTAAATATTAATCTCATTAATTATAAATGTGTCTGATTGGCTGTTCCAGGAGCTGACAGCGGACCCTCAGTTCATCGTGGGCGGAGCCACCAGGACGGACATCTGCCAGGGAGCACTGGGTAGGTCATGTGACCTTCCTCGCAGTCTGTGGGGAACCTGACAACTGTTGCTATGGAGACCAGCTAATTGTAAACAGCTGGGGGATGTTTCCATCCACGCTGTCAGGATCAGCAGCACTCACACTCATGGTCCGTTTAGTTTGGCTCTTTTTAAACAAGCGTTTACCAACAAAAAGACGCTTTGTGGTTCCATCAGGGTTCTCCTCCTCCAGCCAGGGTTCTCCTCCTCCAGTCAGTGTTCAGCAGATGGACCTTCAGCTCCATCACTGGTCCTGTTGGTCTCCATCAGTCTGAACATCTGGACGCTGCAGCTTCACCTCATTGTTCTGATGAAACTGTTCAGACTCTGTCGGGTTCCACAGGGATCATGA